GTGGACGCCGCCCCCAGCCTGGACATGGTTCTTGACGAAACTATTCCCGTTCTGGAGGAGTATGTGAAGGCGGGCAATGCTCGCTTCATTGGCATCACCGGCTACGATGTGGACGTGCTCAAGGAGTGCGCCGAGCGGGGCAAGGGACGCATTCAGGTGGTCCTCAATTATGCCCGCTATACGCTGGCGGACAACACCCTGCTGCGTCACATGAAGGCGTTCAAGGAGCTACACGTGGGCGTTATTTGCGCCTCTGCCCACTCGCTGGGGCTACTCACCAATGCTGGACCCCCATCAATACATCCCGGTAGTCCTGAGCTCCTGGCTCTGGGTCGGCGGGCGGCAGAGATCTGCAAGCAGCGTGACGTTGAGCTGGGCAAGCTGGCCATGTATTACACAATGCAACTGGACGGAGCAGCCACCTTCCTCGTTGGCATTCCCAATCGCCGGCTGCTACAGGTTAATTTGGACGCAATCTTCGATGGTCTCACGTCAAAAGAGCAGGAAGTGCTGCAGTATCTGCGCGAAAAGTGAGTAGGAATTGTGCAAATCGGATTTGGTGTTAGCAATTGCATCACGGGCACTGGCACTGCCACTGGCTCTGGCACTTGCTCTGGCACTGAAACCGGGTCGAACTTGGCCTCAGCCTCTAAGCTGGTTACTCCAATCCAATTAAGTCCAGTCCAATCCAATCCAATCACTATTTTCACATGTATTTCTTTCTTTGTCTTTGTTTCAGTCTTTTCACCAAATCCTATAGCTGGGGCTCCACTCTATCATATATCAACAATTTCCAATGAGTAAAGATCACAGCTGAAGAAATGCATGTAGCCTGAAGAGCTCGAAAAGCTTTTATGAAACGACCGTTGGAAGCACGATAATTAAATCCAATAATAAACCAATAATATATATAAAATAAATTAATTAAAGAAATGCCTGTAATTTTATTTGAAAACCTTTAACTTCCAAACCGTTTTCACATCTTTAAGCCAAAGAACTTCATTTAGGTACATATTTCCTTTGAAATTGTTTTGTTTCCAGTACTAATTCAACTAAAAATTGGAAACATTCACCTTTTATAAGAAGTAAACTTGTACGTATGTTTTAAACAACATATTTATAATTTCCAAGATAAGCTCAGGCTCACACACAGCTCAATTGTCGTTACCTGGTACACCCAATATATTTATAAACAAGTGTGTGGTTCGCAAGTGTTTTATTTGCTTTTGATTGAAATATTTGTATTCTTGGTTTACATAAACATTCTAAAGCCCGTTGCATGGTTTTTGAGCTCAGAGAGTGCACATATTGCAAGAGGGTGAGAGAATGCATTGGTTTGGTCGTGGACTTGCGAACAAGAAGGTGCAGATGCTGGAATACCACACCATGAATAGGAAAATATTCAACCACTTCTACAAGGGAGGAGTTGATTAGCAGCTTCAGATGTATAGGAATATGTATTCATCTGCAATATGTACGAGATGTAAAAGAAAAAAACACTTTTACCTAACGTCTATTTTTTATTAAAATACAGAAAACATGCACAAGCCCATGTTCGAGAGCACTCACTAGACACGCCTCACCTTTATACATGCATATGCAAATATATCTTGGGAGAGTAGAACTTTTGTCAATTCTTCTCCCTTTGTAGTCTTTCTCTTTTGCAGCTTTTACACCGACGCTCTCTCAGCACAGCACAGGAGCGCAATCAACAGTTAATAAGACTTCTGCTCTGTCTCTCTCCCTTACGATGATCTTTCGTATCAAATTTGAGTCCGCTCCTGTGCACAAACACTCGCTGATATCAGAGCACAATAATATGTGTATTTGTTTGATTAAGTGCACTTCAGCTCTGCTCTCTTTATCAGGTCTGGCAAATATAAACTAAATATATGGCAAAACTCTTGCCAGTATTCCTTTGACTGGGGTAAGAATTTCATCAGAGTGTGACATAGATTGGACGCTCATCAAAATGTCTGGAACATTGCCGGCTACCTTTGTGAAGGGTTTCCACGATGAAGAGAAGGTGCGACGCATGGAATACCGCAAGCTCGGAAAGACAGCTCTAGAAGTATCGAAGATTTCATTTGGTGGCGGTGTATTGTGTGCCAACTATGGGTAAGAGATGTAAAAAGTCTCTTAAGGGGACTCTTAAATTAAATACGACTTCTCTTTCTGACATAGCTTTGAACTTGAAGAGGCCATCCAAACAGTGCATGAGGCCTTGAAATCGGGCATCAATTATATTGACACTGCTCCATGGTATGGACAGGGACGGTCGGAGGAGGTGCTCGGCCAGGCCTTGAAGGATGTCCCCCGGGACTCCTATTATATAGCCACAAAAGTGGCTCGCTATGAGCTCGACCATGAGAACATGTTCGACTTCAGTGCCAAGAAGACTCGCGAGAGTGTGGATAAGAGCCTGAAGCTTTTGGGTCTGAAATATGTGGATATCATCCAGATCCACGATATTGAATTTGCCGAGAATTTGGATATTGTTCTCAGCGAAACACTACCCACTTTGGAGGCGCTGGTCAAGGAGGGAAAGGCCAAGTATATTGGTGTCTCTGCTTATCCGATTTCCGTGCTCAAGGAATTTTTATCCCGAGCACCAGGAAGACTCGATGTACGTAGTCTAGAGGAATCATCATTGACTTACTAAACTTTTATGAACTACTTGCAGACGGTGCTGACATATTGCAGGTACACTCTAACCGATGACACGCTTATCGAATACTTGGATTTCTTCAAGTCGCAGAATTTGGGAGTCATTTCAGCTGCTGCCCATGGCCTGGGCCTGCTCACCAATGCTGGTGCTCCGCCGTGGCATCCGGCCACCGATGAACAAAAGGCTCTGTGTCGCAGGGCATCCGAGACATGCATAGAGCGCGGTGTGGAGCTGGGAAAACTGGCCCTCTATTACTCCATGAAACTGGGGGAAGTCGCCACCTTCCTCACTGGCATGCAGACGCGGCAGTTGCTCCAGATTAATCTGGCGGCTTGCGAACAGCGTCTCACCGACAAGGAGCAGGAAGTGTTGCTTTATCTAACCAAAAAGTGAGTGTTCGACTCGGAAGTTGGCCAAAAACAAGACAAAGACAGAGCTAAAAATTGTGCAACTCGGATACAATGTTAGCATTACATCATTTCCACCACTTCCAAGCGGTTGACCAGGCCATACCCGTCCCAGACTGCAGTGTATGGCGTCCACACATACAGACACACATATGTACATCCGTATGTGCATGATCATTGTCAATCTTGGCCATCGGTGCAGTAGGCACCGGGAAAAAAAACACTTCCCCTGCCCCAACAGTTTGCCATCCATTTCCCAGTGCCTATTGAACTTGTTGCTCTTCTCTCTCTCTCTCTCTCTCTCTCTCTCTTCATCATTATATTTCTCTATTTTGCCCGTTACGTGCTCCACGGGAATTATGATTATGTGCAACTTTTCCCCACTTTAAATGCTCGCAAAGTTTACCTGATCCTCTCAGATCGGACATTATGTAAATTTCTTAATGTTTCTCCTTTCATTTTCAGTGTTTTGAATAAACCTTTCAATTGGGAAGGCATCGAACTGGAGCGCTATTGGGCGGCGATAAAGAACAAGTAATTCCAGAGGAATATTGTATAGAAAATAAAACGAAGAATTGAAGAAAGTCTGATGGCTTTACAGCACTAGATAACCTTTAGCAATGATTTTGTTTGCCCTAGAATTGAACTTGACATAAATGAAGCAACAAAAGTAAGTTTCCATAAATGATAACCACTATGCGAGTATTAAGAGGGAAAGTCACAAGACCAATATATGATAAGCGAAGAGTAGGTACTTGAAAGACTGATAATAATTATTTGGAAAGGTAAGGTTTTAACCCGAGAAGAGAGACGAAAACACACAAACATTTCGTTCGTTGAGCATCATTACAACTCAATTATGTCCAGCTTTTGGGGAAATGCATTCATATACCCTACTAAAGGTTGTTTTCCTTTTGCTGAGATTTTTTGTAATAATTAAAAAAAAACTCACAAATATTTCGCTTAAACGAACTATTTTTTTTTAATCTGCGTCAAAGGGTACATTATCTTCGGTGCACCGAAATAATATATCTTTGTATGCACTTTTTGGGCTAATATTGAAAATCCACTTCCACCTTTCGCTCTCCATGGCGAAAATCCAAATCAACAACTAATTACGCTTTAATTAACGCAGTAAACGTAAAACAAAAGATGTAAATACGAGTAAAAATAAAAACAGAAAACACATGGAAAGGCAAGACGGCAACTCAAATTATTTATCTGGTTGCATGAAGGAGAACCGAGTCGCACCAAGTCGAACCGAATCGAGCTGAAGCGAGGCGGAAAACGTGGAAGTTTAATAACATTTTGAATAATGAACGAGGAGCCACAAAAAAAAACAGCAAGTGCTGCGGTAAAAATGCGAGGCGAATGCACACAGCAGAAATGCAATCCACATGCCACACGAAAAGCGGAAATGTCTCTGGAGCGATGCCGCACTTTGTTTTCCTTAAACTGCCGCTTTTAATAATTTTATTTTACTTTTCCATCTGGCACCATGGCGCAATCCAATAAATGTTCGTCCTTTCAAATGTGCACAGCACTTTTTTTATGAGTACTGGCCAAACGAGATGACGTATTAAAAAAGCTTTGTTTGCTTTGAAAGAGTTAAAAAAAAAACCGGAAAGGGTTACATCCAATCTTAAGTACGTTTTATGTACCTTTACATATAATTCGTCAAAGTAAGATCCTATGGTCTCTCATTTTTTTATTTTTGTGGCCATTATACCCCCACAACGACACGAATGTTTGCAGCCACATAGGTACATATCTTGTTTAGCCAGTACTCAACGCTCAGCTGTTGGTCAGGTTCTCAGTCATCTTACTCTCTCTCTCTCTCGGCTTTCTCAAGCTCTCTCCCGTGTTATGCGCTGGAAGCTTATCGAAGCTTTTCAGCTGCGCTTATATGTGCTGCGCCGTCGCAGAAGAAGCGGTACTTTCGGTTTGAATTTCCAGTCATTGAGACGTGTACGGTGCCGCGTTAACTTTACCACACGGACATTTGTTGTTAAATAATACTAAAGTGCAATATGATGAGGATACAGAATGGAATAGTGCTTTTGTTCGCCTGCAACGTAATGCTGGCTGTCTACGTGTCCGGCAATAATAATAATAACAAGCAGCAACAACAAAATCAACAGCAGAAACAAGGTAGGGTTATCGACACCGCACACACAGCAAGAAGGGACTGACTGACTGATTCATGTTGGGTGGAGAAATTCTCAATGCCATTGCCAAGTTCTTCTGCGGGCTGTTCTAGCCAGACCAAAATAAACAGAAACCGGTTGGGGAAGAGTAACTAAGAAGCTCAGACAATGCCGGCCAGGCAGGCGTTGAGTGAACTTCAACGCTTTGTTGCGGTTCGCTGGAGTAAATGCCGCCAGATGTTAGGCTTATGAAGAAGTAACGGTTATATCTAGAAAGAAAGCATTTAAGCGTTATGTTATGGGGAAAAGAACGAAAATGGAAAGTTTAGGGTTTGAAAATTCTGTATTGAAAGATACAAAATTTTTAGGTAAAAAGGGCTAAAAAACTGCGTTCTCTAAAAAGAGTTTATTGGATAGAGTTCATATCTTAAATCGAAACTACAAGTCTACCTGTGCATCACACAAGTAAGTTTCCTCAATTTATTGCAGAAATCTGGGAACAAGACCTTTCGGACACCTTTAAAATCGAGGGCAGCGATCAGGGCATACAAAAGGTCAACCTGAAGTGCGGTGCCAACTCCATGAATGTCATGCTCGAGACGGAAAAGCCCTTCACGGGAGTGATGTACACTCGTGGCAGTTTCTACAAGCAGACCCCACCGTGCTTCATGAAGCCCACAGCCAACCAAGGTGCCCGATCACTGGAGATGAACTTCCAACTAGACCAGTGCCAGACTCTGAAGGATGGTGATCTCTACACGAACATTGTGGTAATTCAGAACGACCCAGAGCTGATAACACCCGGTGATTCGGCCTTCTCGCTGGAGTGCGACTTCCGTCAGCCGCGTAGCCTCGATGTGGAGGCCAGCATGCAGGCCAGAGATAGGTAAGAAAACGGGATGTGATAATCCTTTGTAAAGTTGTGATGTCATGATCTGAACTTGCAATAGAAACCCACAAAAGTTGCGTGGAGCACGCAGTGGAGCCCGCCAGCGTCAATAGAACTTTCAACCCACGAACTCCACTCCTAAGTTCTGTACTTCTTCTTCTTCAACTGCAATCATTTCCAAATAGCTGTACATAAGGTACAAAACGAAAGTACCCCCCTTCTTATGCACTGTGTTCCCCTCCCTCAAAACTAAACACCCAACGCGTAGCGGCTTACTAACCCTAAAACCAAATGAAACACAGCAAAGACCAAAAACACTACAATACAATCCACAGGGTGGCCACAGGCTCCAAAATTACACTCACTAGTCCCGATCCCGCGGCCCCCACGGAACATCTACACAACTCGGTGGTTAGCAACAGTGATTCGGTTGAGTACATACCAAAGTTTAGCAGACCAAATAGAACCATACACCTGGGTTCCGTCGAAGAGGTGGCGCTGCCATCCTCGGAGTACGCCAGGGACGAGCTCTAAAGAACACTAAAGATCATCCTCAACACAGCACACAAATAGAACAAAAACACAATCACAACACTTGAAAATCACACTTAAATACAGGTGAGACACGAGGACACGCTTTTTGTTGTTAATTATTTGTCTTGTTTTAAATTTTACAAAACTGTTGTTTTTTTTTTTACTGACTTTTTCCCAACTTCACAGGAAAATCGCACAGAATTCGACGACCGCAACGTAAACGGAGAAACCGGCGAACAACAGATGCACTAACACCACTTCATGTATTTTTCATTTAAATGGTTTTTCATATCCTGTGATATTTTTTAAGTTTGATTTTAATAAAACTACAAGCAAAAGTTTCTTAAAATTTGTGCCTTTTTGTTTTTCCTGTAACTGTGTGATTCTTTTCCTCTAATTCAAGGAAAATATCAAACTACATAAATAAATTGTTGAAATATTTTTACTTTTAATTTTCTATAAAACAATAATATATATATATATATATAGTTTGATATTTTCCTATTATTATATACTATATATGTATATATATATAATTTAATTCAAGAAGAAAAATGCAACATTTAGGACCCCTTGTGGGAAAGATATCCTCGATTTGAGGAAATTGTGGAAGTCTATGGTTAAAATCAACGCAAAAACAAAGGAATCCGAATCTTACGGATTATAGGTAAGGAGAATGTATCTAGATCGTATACAGTACATATGTATGTATATACATAGAAAACATATTAAACGGTTAAAAGCTTGTCTGTCTAAGACAAAGTCATTGCTAATGCTTTAAAGCAGCTGGTAAAATGGAATATTAATATTAATTCCATCAAATTGAGTACACAAGTGACCATACAATTGGTTGGCCAGCAACATCCAAAAAAGATAAATCATGAAAATCAGACAATCTTGTGGAGAATTAAATGGTGATTCTAGTAAAATTACAGTTTTAATGCTAAGAGTAATAACCAACTGGTAATATTAAACAGATGATCAAAGTCGATGAAAATGATATAAGGTTTACTGTATATTTGCAGTATATTTTGAAAAGGAAAGGGTATATTTCAGTATACTTTTCCGCGGTCACACTACAAAGAACGTCAATAATAAAAATTTAAATTTAATTAAATTAAAGAAACGCTGCAGATTTTGTGGTTTAAAATGGATCATCGTGTATTCCTATCGCTAGTCTTTGTGCTCAGCGGCACTTTTAATGTTTTGGTGGTGAAGTAAGTGGCGTTAAATATAAGTAATGCGTAGAAACAACGTATGTATGTTTGTATGTACATATTTATGTTTGTTAATCTTTCAGGTGGGCTAACCAGCAGCAGGTTATTGGTAGCGATGGCGAACTACATGGCTTCCAGCATCCTGTGGTCTTCACGATGCTCATGTTCCTGGGTGAATTCCTTTGTTTCATTGCCTTCAAGGTGGGCCGTTTGGTGGTCAATCGTCGTGGGGTAAGAGTCATGCAGCGAGAGAATATTAAAAGGAAATATTAAACTTGGACTTTTTTGCAGCCTGGGGCGGAGTTGGACAGTATCCTGACCCAAGTTAGCGGAGAATTCCATCCCCTGAGCATGCTGCTGCCCACAATGCTGGATGCCATGGCTTCCATATTGCTGTTCACCGGCTTGTACTTGACTTACGCCACCAGCTTCCAGATGATAAGAGGTTCGTTTATCAGCTGCTGACATTGCTTATCTTGGTTTACATTGAATGTGTCTTCCCCTCAGGCGCTGCCCTGATCTTTGTGGGCATCTTCAGCACCATGTACTTGAATAATACGCTGGGCACACGCCACTGGTTGGCCATTTTCACTATGGCGTGTGGCATCCTGGATATCATATCCTTGGATGTGCAACGCGTGGACTACGATCGGTTTACGCTGCCGCACAAGGACCACAAATCAATTTTGGCTGGCGATATGCTCATCATTATAGCCGAGATCCTGCACGGCTTGCAGTATGTCTATGAGGAGAAGCAGCTTAAGATCTCGAACGCGGCTCCGCTGCAGGCCACTGGCTGGCAGGGTATCTTTGGCATGGCCATTACCGCGATACTAGCCATCTGTATGCACTTTGTGCCCAGCGTGATGCCATTCAATGAGAGCTCGCGTGCTGTCTTTGACGATTGGAGCGATCTGTGGACGGGACTGGAGGGAAATGCACCCTTAATCCTGGCCCTAATTGGATTTACCCTGTCCTGTGCGGTCTACAACTTTATTGGACTGTTCATTGTGATGTACTCATCTAGTGCAAACCGACTCCTGGCCGACGGTCTGCGAGTCTATTTTATCTTTGTATTTGTCATTGTCATGGAATGGGAATACTTCAATCTGATCACGATCATGGGCTTCATCATAATGCAAATGGGAATCATCATGTACCGTCAGGCCATATTCGTGGATTGGTATCGTGCGGCCCTGGCCCGCTGGCAGCGCAGTCGCTATGTGGATCTGAGTGCCGATGCAGCGGCAGCAGCTCCCAACAGCAGGCCAGCCGATGTCATCTAAGGAAAGAAGACCAGAAGGAGGACAGTCGAATGTGATATGAGAGGTTGGGGCCATTGGAGAGCCCAGGGCTGATTCATCAAAATTACTTATCAATTGTAAACGTTAAAAATTAGATTATAAATTACACAAATACACATAAAATTTATTCACACACTGACAACACGACACTAAACAGTCTTCTTCCTTTCCATACCAAGAATACGCTCACCCACGCCGGTGAAGTACACCATTTGGGCGATGCCAAACATTGGGGCAAGTACCATGATGCGACACAAACCGCCCTTGAAGAAGGCAGTGGGACCCTCATACTTCATGGTCTTGCTGACACAGTCAAAGAAGCCTTCGAACTCCTTCTCGCCTTCAATCTTCTTGATGGCCTGCAGACGGGTCTTGATTACGTCGAAGGGCGTGCACAGAAACGCAGATGTCATGCCAGCGGACAGACCGGCGAGCAGAGACCAATAAAAGACGGCTTCACCGGAGTTATCTGTCTTGCGGGGTCCCGCATCATTGATTGTAGCCATCATGGGGAAGTAGATTACCGAAAACAATACATCCCGCACCCCTGTGGCCTTCACACCCTTGTACAGACCAAAGATGCCATTCTCCTTGACCAGCTGCTTGGCGACGCTCAGTGCTGTCAATTTGTGCACCTCCCTTCCTGCGGACCGATCTGCGCTAGCAATGCGTCCCGCATCCTGCATCTGGATCTTGAGCAGCTCCATGGGTGTTGTGACAACGATCTGAAACAGCCCCGCCAAGCCACCGGCTATGCCCGCCATATGCAACGGCAGCTTACCCTGAGGCGTGGACAAATGATAGCGAAAGTAATCATTGGCCGCCAACTTAATGGCCTTTTCAGGCGTAACCAATATGATGTTGACCGCGGATCCCCTGTACATGCCAAAGAATCCGTCTTGTGCGATGGTCTTGCGAAAACAATCAATGCTGAATTGAGGGTTTGTTCATATTTTAGCATTGATTTAATTGTAAAATGTTAGCCCCACTCACATGCTGCTGTACATCTTCTCGCCATTGGGTAATATTTGTTGATTCTGCAAGCGCGTCTTGACCAAATCCATGGGGAACACACAGGTCACCCCAATGATGCCAGCGATACCGCCATTAATGATCTTGGGAAGTACACTAGAGGACAACGCATGATTAGCGAGGGACCATTCGTACCCCTACACTCCGGTCACCATCGGCAAAAACTCACTTAAACGAGGCCGGTTTCTTTTGTTCCGCCATTTAAACTAGAAATTTTACTTAAACAAAAACTAAAATCCGAAAAACATGAAATAACAACTAAACAGTAAGACGACGAGAGTACAACTAAATTTGATACATATGTATAGATATATATTTCGTTTGTTCATGTCTGACAGTTTTTATAAAGTATAGTATATGGTTTTTGCTCTATAGTCATGTTCTTTAACGCTACTAAAAGTTACACTTTGGCCTAGCAGCAAAAGAAAAATGCATTTTTAATACGATTACAGGCGAAAGGTTAATAGCTAACATGTGCATGGCTCAGGGATAGAGAGTTACATGGAGAGAGAAAGAGAAAGGGATAGGCAAAACACAACAGTTATAAATTAAACTAAAACAAAAAGGGACTAGCAAACAAACATTTTACATAATAATAGCTTTGATTCCACTTTATCTTATTGTCATAGGAGCATAGGTTCACTGCCAAAGGCCTGTATTATGATATACGTACATAGAATATTCTGTCGGTATACGGGTATACGATTAGGATCAAGGATAACTTTAACAACTGTTCGTACTGGACTGATGGCTAACTTTTTGAGACTTTAAAATTACATTGTTGGACAGCTTTAACAATAACATTTAAACACAAATACACATTCAACATTTAGAGAGTAAACTTAAAATGCGTTGTCTTATCGATCCGCTTTATCGGAAAAGGGAAGTCGTCCTCCTTTATTTCTTTTCCACGCCCAACAGCCCCTCGGCCACGCCCAGATAGTAAACCGTCTGGGCAATGCCAAACAATGGAGCAATCACAATCATACGGCACAGGCCACCCTTGAAAAAGGCCGTGGGTCCCTCATGCTTCAGCGTCTTGCTAAACATTACGAGAGAAGGAGAGGGAACGGACAATGAGAGGTGATTAGCCAGTGGAATGGTTCAGCACTCACGTGATGCAATCGGATATGCCTTTGAACTCCTTCTCGCCATCGGCCTTCTTAATCGCCTGAAGGCGTGTCTTAACCACATCGAAAGGATTGACAGCAAGAGCAGCTGTAGAACCAGCCGCCAAGCCAGCCAGGAAGGAGCACCTTTAAGGAAATAATAATACAGTGAAAAGAGATACAGCAAATGGGCTGAGCAATCTGAATTCTCACCAGAAGACAGCCTCGCCAGAGCCATCCTTGCGCCTGGGGCCGAGATCATTGAGCGTGGCAAACAGCGGGAAGTAGATCACCGAGAATGTCACATCTCGCAGACCTGTTGCACCGATGCCCTTGTAGAGGCCAAAGATACCCTTCTCCTTAACCAGCTGTGAGGCCAGCTGGGTGGCCGACACCTTCTCCACCGTCTTGCCAGCCAGTTTGGCAGCCGCTGCCACACGACCCGCGTCCTGCATCTGAATCTTGAGCAGCTCCATGGGAGTGGTGACAACGATTTGGAATGCACCGGCCAGACCACCGGCTACCATCTGACTGCTAATGGGTAGCTTGCCATCCTTAGTGGTCAGCTTGTGACGGAAGTAATCGTTGGCAGTCAGTTTGATTGCCTTCTCAGGGGTAATCAAGAGGATGTTCACACCCGAGCCGCGATACATGCCAAAGTATCCCTCGGCGGCGTACGTCTTGCGAAAGCAATCGAACCTGGAGGGGATTACACATATAATTTGATTAACTCTTTAGGATTGCATAGATAACAGATGTACTCACATGCTTTTGTACATGCGTTCGCCATTTGGACCGACCTGCTGGTTCTGCAGCCTCGTCTTGACCAAATCCAATGGAAACACACATGTCACACCAATGACGCCAGCAATTCCACCGTTGATGATTTTGGGCAGCAGTCTGTAAGGAGTTGTAGAGAGAGAGAGAGAGAGAGAGAGAGAGTATTTTGTAGTCTGTCTTGCGACTCACTTTTGCTAATTGACAACTATTTGCACTGCGTTAACTTTTGCATTCCCATTTGTATGTGCAACAGGCACCAGGGCCTTGAACTTGACCACCAACAAGACATCTTGTTCCCCGCAAACTTTTCTGTTTCTAAAGGTATCTTAGCTAATTGATCTAACAAGTAACACAACAGAGAGGTCAAAGCAATGAGTCGCTTCCACTTATTATGCGAACAAATATTTGGTTCACTGCCAACATATCAAAATGTATATCTTTTCAGATCTATAGCTAGTCGGTCGATGCTTTGGTCTATTTTGGGATTCTGCGCTCGGTCGCTGCCAACAAAAGCGAAATGCATTTGTTCGAAGGACCGAGCCTAGGAACAAACAACCATAGCAAATAATATGCAATCATATTATGTCATAGTAGATACGCCTGTCCTTGAATGCACTTTTGCCATAAATTTGTTGCGATGCGACGATGGGTTCAGGCGGTTGGCATGGCGGCATATTTGCTGAAAAATTGTCTAGTGTATTTTCACAGCTATGACACCTACATAACATTTTATAGCATCCAACAGCTTACGGTAAAATTTGAGAAGGAAAAAGAAGTTAGAGGGAGATGAATATTGATTTTCAAATAAATCTACTTCGCCTGCACACAGGTTGCTTTTAAGTAAGTGTCATACCCGCAAGCAGCATACATACATATGTACGTAGTATGCATGAATAACTTATTTATTCGTTTTATAAAAATATTGTTTGCTTTTCTGATTACACCACCAAGGCATCTAAATAAAATTTTATTGATAACTTACGCGAATTGCTGGTGCTTTGGCTGTTCTAGCGGTGTTTTGTCTACCTGGATCGTCGCCATGCTGAAAACAAAACAAAAAATTTATAAATACACATACATACATACATGCATACATATATGCACATTAATATGTCTGATATAGATATACAAAGTGGTGCAAACTGGTTTGTTTATATTTTAAAAAATATTCGCACATATACAATTATTTCTGTACACTTGGTTCCTTTTGCTTGACCACTTTACTCCAATTAAACAATACATCATATAATTATGTTAACCAACTGATAGGACAATTTATTAGAGTCAGCCGATAAGAACGGCTGAGAGTGAGGCGGGGGTACAAAGTTTATTGACATGCACGGGGAGCGAAGAAGATTAGCAGCATACCAAGCAAGCATTTCCATTTGTTTGCCATCGTGAATAAATATGATAATATTACACCCGAGTGTTAAACGAACAAATTAAACACATTTTAAGGGGCATTTAAATCTTTGAAAGGTATTGGAACCACCGCCCGGAATAGCGGCTCTTTTACCCGCATTGCGCAGAAGATAAGCGCAACTTTTTTATCATTTCAAGAATAATTCAAGCATAAAGATATCAGAGAAGAAGTTGCCGATAATCAGCAGAGGGGAAAAAGTGGAAGAAGGCCTAAGTACGCTCCACAAGTCAAGGTAACCACAAGCAGCTATAAACGCGAATGATAAAAAGGTAAAATTGTCAAGATTAAGGCTTCAAAGAGGTGTTGTGTTGTTGCCGTGTCCAAAAAAAAGTTATTGATTATTGCGCGAATAGACAGAACAGGCTTGGAGGGGCTTGAGAACTACTTAAGAGCCTGCCTGCCTGCCTGCGTGTAACATTTTTGAACAGGTGTAAAATTGTATGTACATTGAACCAATTCCATTTGATAATGTTTAATCATCGGGGTAACTGGAGCAACAAGCACTTGTATGAGATTTTACGTAATTTCTGTATTCATCAAACCCTCGAGAACACCTTTAATAAATTGAATTTACAGCCGCACTCTTCTGATACATAATCAACTGTATATGTGGCCCTCGCAGGCTATTAAATGTTTAAATTAATTTGTGCGTAGCGTTTGTTTATACCACCCCGCATGTTTTGGAACTCACTTATCACTTATTTCTTCGATGAATAGTTAATTGACTTGATTACTGTGCACTTAAATGCAGCCTTTACTGAACAACGATTAATTAACGGCTATTAAACTAAATTAAATGTATTTATTGTTTTCTTCGCGCCGTCGGCGTGCAAAACACGCAGAACGAATTATCGATAAAATATACCGTCAGGGCCTCGTAAATATACCAAAATATACCATAGCATTTTCAAAAAATTCTTTAGTCTTACATCAAATTCCTCGATTTTGATGTTCTGTTTGATATTACTAGCTTGCAAAGGCTTTTAACAATGAAAAAGTAATTTAATCCGTTTGAAAAATAAGTTTGTCTTATTATGAACACTCCTTTTTATTAGATTGAATACCTTATGACATTATATTTTAAGAATTTGTAATGAGTTATTCCGTGAGCACATCGCTAAAACTCTGAACATCACGCTTCCCAGCACTAGCACGGAAGCACAACAAAAGAATTTGGCAACACTTTTTCACTTTCAAAATATACATTGAACTCAATTTCGACCTCAAAATATCATACCATGTAAAATAAATATTATATGCCGAAAACAGTTACCCTGGGGGGGTGTGGTCCTATTTGGTATTTACAGTGAAGTATGAGCCCTTCATCTATCCCCTATTCCACCCATCTAATTTTTTTAGCTCTGTCTCTATGTGTTTTACGTTAGTCAGAAAAATTGGAATTCACATGAATAATAAGTTCTTTCCTTACTGTCTTTAGTTATTCCGTGAGCACATCGCTAAAACTCTGAAGATCACGCTTTCCAGCACTAGTACGGAAGCACAACAAAAGAATTTGGCAACACTTTTTCACTTTTCCTCAACAAAAAATATAGAAAATAGCAATTGTTTAACTAAAGAATTGGCGAACAATGAGCACGACACGTTTTGCGCGTTCCGGGCGCGTCCGAATTTGCATTCTGATGAGCATGTTCGTGGTGCTCATCATGATGATTGTCATTTACCAAATGTCCCAACACCAATTGGACGAAAGCCGAGCCTTTCAGGAGGGCCTCAACGTTCAGATGCAATGTAAGATAAATGCTTTCGGCAGAGCCTCTTTACTGATAATAATATGCAGCCTTAACAGCTGAGAAACTGACGGCCGAGAAGAGAATGAGTGTGCTGCGCACGGAAAAGGAGAATTACGAGAACCAGCTAGCAGAGTCCATACAAAAGCAACAGGAGACGGAGCGTGCCCTGCAGGAGAAGTTTGATGGCCAGCTGGAGAAGTATAAGCTGCTGGAGTTCAAATATTCCGAGCTGGAGGGAGAGTGTGTCAAGAGCAAGAAGAAGCACATCGAAGATACGAATTCATTTGATCAGAAGCTGCAGAAACTGCTGGCGGATGTGCACAAAGATAAGGCCTCTAAGGAGCACGAAGTGGCCGCATGGAAGGTGAGTGGAGAGTAAAGCTAACTTCTAACTTCTCTCAATATTTTAACGCTTTAGGAGAAGCATGATAAGCTACAACGCGAATCGGAGCACAAGATACATGCCCTGGAGGCGACGCTGACTGAATACAAGAGCAACTGCCACTACATACCAAAGGTGCAGCCCGCAGAGGCACCAGCACGAGCTGGCGTTCAACAGCAGTTGAATAAGCCAGCGGAAATGACACTCACAACGCGTCACTCCAGTCCGTCGCAGCAGGCGCACAGCATTGATAAGCCACGCAACGATAAATCCTTCAACGCGCAATTGCAAGTGAGTGAAGGCGTCTACAGGATTGGCGGCGGGGTAAATCTTCTAGCAACTAACCAACACCAAAACCAAACCACTAATAATACTAATAACAATACAACCAATCCAACTCGTGGCGGCGGGCTGAAGGAGCAGATCCAGCCGCAACAGCGGATGGTGGAGCAGAAAGAGGAACAGCTGCCAATCTTGCCCTTTGCCGTGCGCAACAATCACAGTCTGATACTTAAGTCTGTCGAAAATTTTCAGATTGTACCGAAGTCGCTTACTGAAAGGCAGCAGCAAGAGGAGCCCCAGCTGGCCGGTGGACCCGTCTCGCCGCTGAGTGCTCCGCGTAAGAGCAGCACTGCGGGCGCTGCCGTCAAGAGTGCTGGCGATGCTCCGAATGCTTCAGTTGCGCCCAGACTTAGCAGCAGCAGCAGCGGTCTGCCGCCCCTGGCACTGCCACCGGCCAAGCCAGAGCGCAAGCTCCCGGAGAATGTGGCCCCCATACCCGACAACTTTGAAGACAACAAAGTAGACGCCAAAGGCGATGCTGTCGACCTGGACACGGCGGCCGAAGAGCTGCCCAAAAATGAGAACAACAATCGCTATGCGAATGTTGTGAATGATCTCGAGTCCAATAAGAATTTGGGCGTGGCCCCTAAACCCGTTGAGGACTCGGGCGCACATGAAGTCAAGGATGCCATGAACGAGCCCAGCTTCAATTTGCCTGCAGCGGGACAAAATCTCTTTGACGGAGAGCTGCCAGCGCCAGGACCTGGCCCAGCGGCCGATGATGCTGTCAAAGCCGAAGCAGCCGGCGGTGGTGATGGTGACGACGATGATGATGTGGGCGATGTGGCAGTGAAGCAGCCTCAGCATTTGCTCGACACAGACAATCTGAACAACGAGATAGCGGCCGACCAAGGCAAAGAATTTGCCGAAGGCATACATCTCGAGGATGCCATGGATGAGGATCAAGATGGTAAGGCAACTGGCTCTATTTACTCTATGAAATATGGTCCTAAGTCTTTGTAATTTTCCAGAGGATGACTACTCCAGTGTGGCGCGCAAGAAGGGAGGCGAAGCCATTAGAGATTAAGCGTCAGATTAGATTTAATGCGGCATGTGTGCAAAGGATTGGCAACCTTTTTTTTAAGTTAAAGCCGTGCTCGCACAGAGCATTGAACAAATTTCCATTGAACAAATCGGATCCACGAGTACACGAATTATGTATTATAAGTAATATATTGCCAGTGTGAGCACGGCCTAAGGTATAGATTTACTTAGGGGTTAGGTAAAGTTTAGTCTCATCATTATTATTGCTTTTTTCAAATGAAAAATACCCAGAGATGGATAAATGGCAGAAGCCATTCGCATGTGTCGCTAAGATAATTGCATGAGCCTATCCTATCTATATAAATTCTCAAGCATAATTTCATCACAGTTTAAATTACGCTTCGGCTTTGCATTCAATAGGAGATCTTGTACTTTGTTTTCTGTGATAAGAAACTTTTGACATCCACTTGGAATGTTGCCTGCATTTTTGTCTCTGCTGCAAACCACTCAACATCGATAGAGAATAAATAGAACACGCCGACACGCCTTGCATTCGGAACACACTCACAAACTTTACTTTAAATGATATTAAAACTAAATGAATATATGTTAATTTTTCTTGTGTAGCCAGGGCCGGCTTTAGGGCAGGGCGGGCGCCCCAACGAGAATACCTAAGTACTGCTGCCGGTCTTAGACCTAAAGCCAGCCCTGCTTGTAGCTTGCTAAATGATGAAAATCTGAAATGCCATAATTATATTACGCGGCGCAACTCAAACACAAATATGAACTAGGAAATAACTCAAAATCAAAATAAATAAAAGAGAAACGATAAAACGTTCACTTTGTGTGCGCCAGAATCCATGGGTGCACCAACACCTGGTCCAGGGGCAGACGATGCTGTGGATTGAGGACCAACAGCTTGGAAATCAAGTGAGCAGCCGCCTTGGAAATGTGCTCTGGCAGCTTGTACTCCACCTTAAGGATCTTCTTGTAGGTCTCGTCGTAGTTTTTCGAATAGAATGGAGCATGACCCACCAGCAGCTCAAAGCAGAGCACACCCAGGCTCCACAGATCCACGTTCTTTGTGTGCGGCTTGCCCTGGACCATTTCCGGTGGCAGATAGTCCACAGTTCCGCACAACGTCATGCGCATCGAGTTGGGCTCGTGCACTGACCACCCAAAATCGGCTATCTTCAGGACACCCTTGTGGCCCAGCAGGAGATTCTCCGGCTTGATGTCGCGATGGATTATGTCACGCTCGTGCAGATACAACAGGGCCGAGCAGAGCGACTTGATGTAGGTGGCCGACTGGCGTTCATCGAAGCGCTTTGACGGCTGAGCCTGCAGCGCATTGAAGAGCGTGCCCTGTGGAGCATACTCCAGGATCAAGTAGATGCGCACGTCGTCATGGAAGTAGGCGTATAAACGAAGAATGTGTGGGTGCCGCAGATGCGATTGGATTTCGATCTCCCGGCGCACCTGATGCTCAACATTAGACTCGCCAATCTGACGCTTGAACAGCACCTTCAAGGCGACAACGAACTGGGATTCCTTCTCGCGTGCCAGGTACACATTTCCGAACTTCCCGCGTCCCAGTAGACGACCAATGTCAAAGTTGTTCAGCTCCCAAGTTTTCTTTGGCTTCGGGGGCTGGCTTTCTGTTTGGGATTGCATCAATGTAAATTTCCAGAGTGGAGATGCCACCAGATACTCACCAGTCTTGCCTTTCTCTTTGTCAGTGATGTTTGAAGATGTGGATGCAGTCGGTGCAGCAGCTTCAGTGGCTGATTTCTCGACTGCGCCAGCGTTGGTCTTCTTAGTTTCTGTTACAGGAGCTGGCGCCACAAACTCTGAAGTTGTTTTCTTTAGTGCATTGGCAGTGGGCACAAGTGGCTTTGCAAATTTCGACATTGCCGCTGGGGCGGGAATTCCTGGCCCCGCTTTATTTGCTGAATGTGCAATTGTCGTAGCCGCTTTGGCCGATACCGACGGAAGGAGCTTGCTGCCTGGTGCCATATTCTCGCTCGTCGGCTATGTTGTAAAATGATCAGTAAGTACTAAGTTAACAATTGACGGCAGTCTCCCGACTCACCTTTTTAGTCAGCAACAAATTTTTCTTCTGCATGCCAAGTGCGGAGGCCGCTGCCTCCGGCTTTCTGACCATGGCATTTTCTTTCGGACGCAACACATTGTTGGACTGATGAGACATGTTTGCACACGCAATCAATAATTACGAACAAACAGTTTTGGTCAATTTAAAACAATACAAATACAAAACTCAATTGGGTAAAAATTCACGACGTGGGAAAATAAAATGCCGTTCGTTTGAATTAGGAAGCGGGTGTCCCAGTTTCGCTGTGAATGGCATGCTGTGTGACCGTTAATTATACAGAAATATACCGTAAATATACCGAATGAAAAACAAAACAAAAATATTTAAAATTCCAACTTTTTCGATGTATAATGCAAAATCAAGTTTTTAATATTAACAATCTAAGCTGCCGTGTTTGTCTGGAGACAAACGAGGACGCCTTGCGTCTACACGACGAGATCCAGTACAATGAGCTGAACTTTGAGTTGTGGCAACTGCTGGAAACCGTCTCCAAAGTGAAGGTAAACCCATGATACATGAATTATTAGTTTCGAAGAATCCATGACTGAGACAATTTCCTCTCTAGTGCACTTGGAACGAAGCAGACATGCCGACCCGCTTGTGCCAGAAGTGTACACACCGCTTGATAGCTGCCTATGAGTTCATCCTCGATGTGGAGAATGCACAGCACACGCTGCAGAACTTGTATCTGCAGCCAACGACAGCGACTACGACTACGACTCTGATGAAGGATCCCGAGCAGATGCAGATGGAGATTCTGGGAGTGTGCAGTCAGGACGAGTTTCTGTCCGTCCTCTGTGACACTAAGGAGGTGGCTGTGACGATGGATGCAGAGGACACCGCTGAAGCTGTGGTGGATGTGCAATTTTCACAAGCAGAAACCATTGTCGAGTCAGTCTATGGATCAGAGCAGCTAGAAGAACTGGAGACGGGTATACCATTTGAGGCAGAAGGCGTGGAGGTTACACAAAGTGTGGATGAAGAAAATTTCGATGTGAAAGCGGATAAACAGGAACCTCCGGGTGGGACAAAGCTGCGTTCCTCACAGCTGGGCAGTCGGCTAACCCACTCACAGAATTTCATCTTCAAGTGTGCCATTTGTCCGCGTGTCTTTGCCAAAAATGATTCGCTCGCTCGGCACATTGCCGTTGCCCACACTCAGACAGCGGACGTGGCCGCCCAGGAGCTGGCAAACGAGAGCAGTGGAAGCGGCGTGCTCACCTGCAAGCACTGTCCACGCATTTTGAAGCGTCAGGACACACTGCGTCGTCACATGCAGGCATTCCATCCAGAGGAAGCGGCCAAAGATGAGGCTGAGTCAACTGGCAGCTCACAGCGGAAGCGCACCGCCAAGCGTCGTGAGTGCCCGCACTGTGGAATTAGTTTTCCCACCTCCAGCCTGACCATCCACATACGCCGGCACACGGGCGAGTATCCGTACAAGTGCGACCAGTGCGAGAAGGCCTTTCCGCGCAGCCAGGATCTCAGCTTGCACATGCGACACCACACGGGCGAAAGGCCCAGCGAGTGCAAAATCTGCTCCAAGAAATTCATATCCCAGAACAAGCTGTCCCGACACATGCGCCTGCACACGGGCCAGCGTCCGTATGCCTGCGACAAGTGTGACAAGAGCTTCGTGCAATCCAACGACCTAAAGATCCACATGCGCCGCCATACAGGCGAGCGGCCGTACAAGTGTGATGTTTGCGGGGACAGCTTTGTCTCGGGCTCCCTGCTGAACGTGCATCGGAATCAGAAAGGTCACATGGCCACAAGTGGAAACCTGAGCTCTGGCGACACCACCACTGAAGATCCGTACTTGAATGCACGTGTCAGCAAGCGTCGCGCGGAGGATATTGAGCGAATGCGGCTCAAGAGAGATGCTGTGGATGGCCTCAATCAGCCACAGATGGCAACGGAGACGATACAGTACTCGCCTCCAGAGAAGCCGCTGCTGATCTACAAGTGTGGCGTCTGTGAGTGGACCTTCAAGAGCGGCGCCTGCCTAACCATTCATCGCAATAATATGTCCCACTACGAGATTGGCAAAGTCGATTACGGCGATCCATTTTCAAAGGTAGTCAAGCGGCATAGCTAAGTAAACAATTGGAGATTTACTTTAAGATATTTTATTTATTTAATTTATTCATTTACCCACAAACTCACCTACAACAATCTATTTTGAAGCATTGATTAATATCTCTTTATTAGGTTGAGTAAAAACTGACAACTAAAATCATTAAAAACTGAAGAAGAAAATAGAGAAAATTTACATTTAACAATTAATAGTTGCAAGTTGTTGTACGCCTTTAGTGGCGCTTGCGCTGATGCGACGCGGAAGAGGAGGAATACGAGTTGGCGTGGTGAGTGCTGCGCGACTTGGAGCGGGATCTAGAGCGATGTCTGTGCTTGCCATGATCATAGCTGCTGGCATGGCCGCTGCGAGTGCTGCTGTGACGCGAGGAGCGTCGATCATCATCGCCAGAGTGGCTCGAGTCCCGTGGCCGTCGTTGATGTTGATGATGGCTACTGCTGCTGTTGCGCCTGTCACCGATATAATGAGTTCGATTGCGTCGGGAACGACGCTCTCGTTCCCTCTCGTGGTCACGGCGCTCGTATTTACTCCGACTACTGCTGCTGCCGCCGCCAGCTTGATCGCGTTGATCACGGCGACTGCTTGTTGTCCGGCGACTGCGGCTTCTGCTGCTCTTGCCGCGACTGCTGGAAGTTTTGGAACTGCCGGAGTTGCTGTGGCTGTCATCGCTGTCGTGGGAGGAGCTACTGCTGCTCGAGCTGCTTGAGGAAGACGATGTGGAAGACCGATGTCTCTTGCTCTTTGACTTTCTTGACGATTTGTTGGCCTTGCTCAGGGCCTTCTCTGCAGCACTCAGCATGCAGGCCACTGCCTCCGGCATCTGCAGCAGATTGGTGGCCAAATTGGGCACAGGCTTCAACTTTGCAAGAGCCGAGCTAGAGCTCACAGGCGCACTGGCAACAATTTGGGCGTAGTTTGCCGTTGAGCTTTTACCATCCTTATTGTCGCTGAAGCGAGTGGTGCGCTCCTTGCGACTCGGTCGTTTGCCTGCCAATGAAGAGGAGGAGTTAATCAATACATAGCGCACAATATTCTAGTGGCTAACCATTAAACTGGAGCAGCTTATCATGGTGGGTGGGATGTTTGGCTGTTGTCTCCCCAGGCGGTTCGGGATTACTATGGGTGGTACGTCGCCTTTCCTTGTCAGCATCGGAACGGTCTCGTTCCTGCTTGCGATGTCTCTGAAGTGTCTGCTCATCGCGCTGCTCCTGCTTGGCCACGCGATCCTCAATGTCATCAACGACTCTCTCAAATGCACGTTTGCTGCGTCGTATGCGAGCCTATTAAAAAAAAGAGTTATTAATGCCAGATTTATAGGAAGGACTTGTTCCAACTAACCTTCAACTCCTCCGCGCTGAGCTGTACGCTTTTATCTGGATCCTTTGATGCTTCTGCATTGCGCGCGCCTTCTTCATCGTCGTCATCCTCATCGCTTTCGCTGGAAGAATCGCCATAGGCTGCTAAACCTATAATTCAAATCAGTCAAGTGCTAATTGTGGCTACCAGAGACAATCGCGATGCAAAGCGGGCACAGTTTATGGGTAATATTTTTATGACGAATTCGTTAAGGGAAACATTTTCAGAGACAGACAGAGAGAGAACCCATGAATTTGGACAACAAGTTAAGGAAAAGGTAAGGGAATTTAGGTTTAAGTCGACCAATTGTAAAGACTATAAGTTGGGATCTGCACAGAGGGTGGGTGGTTGGTTGTGGGGTGGGTCTTTAAGCATAACTCAGACTACCTTTTAAACGAAACATAAAAATAGTGCAAAACGAAACATAGGGATATTTATATTGAATATTGTAAACTTACCCAGATTGCCGGTAATGGAGGACAAGGCGCTTTTGCGAATCACTTGGGCTGATGATGCTTTTGATTTACACACATACATATATATATATAGTAGTAGCATATTATATAATACGATTATAAATTGTTCAGCAAGGGATTCAGTTTGGTTTGTGTTTTGTGTTTATAATATAGTAATTGACCAACAAAAAAAATAACCATGAAATCAAGAACGCGATCGCCGAGTCATCTCACAAGGATTTCATTAACGAGATGGAGCAAGGATCGTTCGTTGCGGGAAGATCTTCCATCATCTTATGTTCTAAATACTTACACACACCAACAAAACACACGCCAGTTGAACGCTGAAAGAGATCGGGCTTTTGGGGAGGGGGAGAGTGGGGAGCAAGAGATTTGTTCTTAATTATCTATAATGTACCTTTAGCGCGATGCGCTTTTAATGTTTCTGCTGCAATCGCTGCAATCTCTTCGTTTGTCGTTTCCAGGAGTATTTCGGTTAATGTGCGACGCACCAAAAGCATCTATAGATTTCGTATTTATAGATTCATTCGGGACTAATGTGTATATATAATGTTGGTGGATGCGCAGCCATTGGCCAGGGAATGAAACGAACATACATACATATGTGCATGGAAAGAGAGTGCAGTGCAGGCTCCTTCTTCATGTGATAGGATTCGTATAATTATAGATTACAATTTCATTGCCTGGCTGAGCGCACACACATCAAATAGATTCAAATAGTGAATGCCTACCAGATCCGCGAGTCTTTCTTCGTAGTTTTTACCATTGCTAGCGGCTTCTGTTGCCCCTGTTGCCACACCGTCTGCCGTCTCCGCATCCTCCAGTGACTTTGACTTTGACTCCTTCTCATTCTCCTGCTGCTCATCATCGCCGCTGGCGCTGCTGCTTCTGTAGCAAGCCTTATTCAATATATCTTTACCTACGAGTATTTTCGGTTCCACTGATGCCGTCTCCTCCTCCGGCTCCTCCTCCCCAGCATTGGAATCTTCGCTGTCGCTGGCCTGAATGTTCAAGTTCATGTTAAATTTCATGTGTTCCCAGCATTAAATGCCTTGCAAATTGTCTGTCTTTAAGTTCGTTTTTTTCAGTATCGTTCGGTATCGTTTTTGTGTGCAACCAATTGAGTGTAGCGCATGTAAATGTGTTGCACTTTTCGCACATTTGTTGGTCGGTGGTGGAGGGTGGAGGGTAATGATAGTCGATAATAACCAGGCCATGCCTTTGCCTTTTACTTACCACAATCGCGATGTTCAATGGATTAACAGGTGTTGTTAGTGTTTTGCTAGATACTTGCTTAACA